GCGTGTGTTTGAAACGGCGCAACGGTCGCTAGGACGCGCGCACCGCCCTCGGGGGCGGGGCCCGGGCTGACGGGGGCCAGCGGTTCGAGTCCCGCCGCGGCCACGTTCCAGCCGAGCCTGTTCCGGGAGACTTTTCTCTCTTTAGCAGAGAAAACACTTTGCGACCCTCTTCAGGGCTTAAATGACACAGTCTTTCCCAATGTCCTCCCTAGCCTTCCTTTGCTGCTGAAGCACATACTGCGGCTTTGATGCACCATGAGTGTGTGAGCATCCGGCATAAAATTCATTATAAGATATGTGATTCTAGTACTTGGCTCTATTCAAGTTTGCGACTGACCCTGGCAATTTGATTCTGAATGACCAAAACATCAAAGTTTGTGCTTACTGATTTTTATTTTATAATATTTTTCTACAATAACAATTGCAATGTACACATTTGTCTCTTGCATGTCTCTTCGTTTTCTCCTGGGAAATCATTCTTTTTCCAGAGTGCTAGGTACAGAAACAGTTAAGACAGAAAAGTTAGGATTTTTCATCACTTCAACTTCCTTAAGTGGGAATATGGCTATACAAATCATTATCTTACTTCTAAATGGTTGAAGGTAGGTACTCCTAGATACCCTAGTAGAACTCTTCTGTTCTACTTCTCTTCTGTTCCTGTAACTATTTGTTATGGTACTTCCTTGCATTTTTTGTTAATCAAGACTGACCTGTGTCAGTTCCCTTTTTCTACCTTCAGAGACTCTCTATGTGTCTCATTAACTGTTTTCATGGATGCCCACATTTCTTTCACCAAACCAATACTATTATTGAAAAACTTTGTGCCTATAAATACCTGATATGAGTTAAAAGACCCACAAGATTACCTTTAAATATTTACAGGGTTTTTCAGTATGTATTTATATTGAAAAACCTGGAGACGAAATTCCTTGTCTTGTTTTACTGCGGAAGGAAAACACCTTTCACAGTCCCATGCCATTGCTTACCCTATGATGTATCATAGCCAGCAATGACACCTTTCTCTGGAATGATACAGAATTGCCATCTCCTGCAAAGGTCAAGAAGGTAAATATCTACATTATTTGCTTGACTTCTAATAATTATGATCAGTCCAATTCACTGGAAAATTAGGACCTGCTGCAAAAGGAAATGGTGTTAATCACCTTTCACTGCCACCATTCACTAAAAGCAACGCCACACTTTTAATACAGAACCTGCACCATTCTCATTGTCTAGAGCTTCAGAACAAACATTTCATAGCTCGGAAGAGCTTCCATACCTTCACTTTCCATGGCTGGAATTGCCTAGAAGGCAATTCAGGTGACAGTATCTAGCAAAACACCTAGCCCTGAATGAAAATCTACTCACACTGATGGTGGTTTTGTCAATACAAAAGCCACCTGCAGAATCTGACTACATCACCAAACTGTGGATTTTCCTATTTATTGTTACTGTGGAGTTATTATTTTATGTCGTTGCCACTAAGGACAGCAAACAGCTTCAAATGCCATGTACCAAGACAATGTTAAGGAAAAAGTCAGCAATATCCAAAATGCGTCTGAGAGCTAAATAACATCTGCTCCATGTGCTCAAATTTTCCAGTGCCAGTCTCATCATCCTACTGTCCAACCAGGGTTTACTAAAGCCAAGAGAATCTCAGTGGGAATATGTATACAAGAAAAAGTGGGAACTGCCAAGGTGACCCGCAAATGGCTGAGGAGAGTAATGAGGCAGAGAAAAGGGGAGGTGTCTGCAAGAGAGTTGTGCTATGGAACAGAAGGATGGAAATGAGGAAATCACAAGTCGTTGAGTTAGAAAAACAGCGTAAATGACCATGGCAAGAGGGATTAACAAAGGAGAGAACATGCTAAACAGAGCCTTGGGAGGATACAGGTGAAGGATGGAGATTCAAAGTGGGGAAATGAGAACTGGGAGAATGAGATAGATGGGTACAGTGACAGAGAGACTGGTGAACATGAAGGTGTGGGTGATGATGAAGGAGATATTTGATAGTGTCAGGGAAAATATCCCTGTGGGTGAAATAAACACAGTCACAGTTACAAAAAGCCATCAGCCTCAGATAAATTAGTAAGCATAGGACCCATGAACAGAAGTATTTTTGCTCTCTATAATCTATCTTTCTTCTCTGATGATTTGTGTTCTTAAGGACTGCCTGAAACTCTCACCTGGAATATAATAGACGAAGAGATGGAGTGCCCTCCCTGCGAGGAAAGGCTGAGACAACTGGGATTGTTCAGCCTGGAGAAGAGAAGGCTTTGGGGTGTCATAATTGCGGCCTTCCAGTACCTGCAGGGAACCTGCAGGAAAGACAGAGACCATTAAAAGAGCATGGAGTGACAGAACAAGGGGAAAATGGCTTCAAACTAAAAGAGAGTAGGTTTAGATTAGATATTAGGAGAAGTTCTTCCCTGTGAGGGTGGTGAGGACCCGGCACAAGTTGCCCAGAGTAGCTGTGGATGTCCCATCCTTGGAAATGTTCAAGGCCAGGTTGGAGGGGGCTTGGAGCAACTTGGTTTAGTTGAAGGCGTCCCTTCCCATGGCAGAGGAGTGGGATGAAATGAGCTTTAAGGTCCCTTCCAACCTAAACCATTCCACGATTCTATGATTAATTGCCCTATTAAGGCAAACCACAAGGACTCCCCACTTCTTTCCAAGCGTTAAGATCCTCAGCACCAACGAGCACCATTGATCTTCCGAACTGTGTCACCGCAACCTCCTCTAGGTACTAACTAGGGACACATCAGCTATCAAAAGTATTTTGAAAATGTTTGGGTTTTTTTCTTCTCCATTCCTAGAGCTGTCTGGGCCTGCACAGAGCCACCCGCTCTGTTATTTCCGAGAGCGGCAACGACTCGGTGTGAACTCAAAGACGATATTTGATGCATTTAGAGGTCAGCGCTGCAGCCCTTACCGAGAGAGCGCTGAGACACAGATTTTACACCCTTAAAAACCCCTCATAGCTGTGACTCCGAGCGCGGCCGGAGCGCTGCGCCTGCGCCCTGCGGCCGGGCCCGCCCGCGCTGGGGCCGAGCGGGGAGAGCGGCCCGGGGATCGGGAGCGGGATCGGGATAGGGACGGGAACGGGAACGGAGCCGCCCCCGCACCCCCGGGATGCGGCTTTGCCACTGCGGCCGCCCCGCCGCCCCCGGGCTCGGCAGGGCCGGGGCAGCTCCGGCCTGAGGAGCCGTGGCGGTGAATGGGCGGAGCGGGAGGAGCCGGAGCCGCCGCCGCCGCGATGGCTCAGGAGAAGATGGAGCTGGACCTGGAGCTGCCGCCGGGGAGCGCCGCGGGCCCGGGCGACGGCGGCGGCCTGAGGAGGTCGAACAGCGCCCCGCTGATCCACGGGCTCAGGTGAGGGGCCCGGGGGGCTCCGGGGAGGAGCCCGGATGGGCTCCGCGCCCATCCCGGCCGGGCACAGCCCCGGGGATGCTCCGGGGCTGCTCCGCGGCGCCCTGGGGTAAAGTGGGTTCCTGAGCGCTGTCCCGAGCGGGGAAGGGTTTAGGCAAGGCATCCAAGTGTGGAGAGGTGCAAAGAAGTCTAGGGAGACGTGCTGTGGCTTTACTAAACCGCTTTGTTTCCGTGCAGGTCCGCTGTGCGTTGTGTAGCTGAGAAGCAGCACGCTGGTCCGCAGCGTGGAGGTTGTGGCCGTTCTTGGGGATAGAATAACAACCGCGGTGATTTCTGTAATGGCTCGAGCCTGAACAAATTAAATCAATGCCCTGTGTATGATTACAACAGTAAATGCTTTCAGAGCAACCAGGCAGTTTCGGCGAGGAAGGTCATTTCATGGGACCCCGACCTAAGTTTTACATTTGGTGTAAAACAGCGTATCAGCTGTCCAGGAAATTTTCTGGACGATACTAATTTTTTCAGTATGTATTGCTGGGAGAAAGACAAGGCGTTGTGTAGGCAACTGTGCTTGGATATTGCCATCGGCCTGTGGCAGGTGCTGCTTGCAGGGAGGGTTGGGTGTTTGCCAGGTCTTCAGCTGACAGGACAGAAAGTGGCAGTTCCAGGCAAGGGCCGGGGGAAAAAGCTCTCAGTTAGGGAGGGTCTCCTGTACAGTTTGTGTTTGGGTAAGTTTGTAACTCAGATGCTGTTTCTTGTCTCCTGTGGGCTTTTGTGAAGTTGGGAGATGCCCCATCTGGTACATGGTGTGGCTACCATCCAACTTCTAAGGCGGTCCATGTGCTCCTGCTAATACTGTGTCTGCAATTTGGGAGGGAATATCCGCAATAAACTTCATAAAACATAGTATATTACATGATAAGCACTTCCTGGTGGTTTGTTTTTTTGTTTTCCTTCGTGTTTTCTCTAAGGAACTGGATATCAAGTGACGAAGAAATGTCACGTATCTCTTGTACCAGAATGGTTAACTGTGCCTGACAGTTCCCAGGAAATACTAATTTTTGCCTATTCCATTACAATTTAATGTTAAGTAAATGTAATTGTGGTTCTTTTGCATAATCATAATGAAACAACCCCCATTTTACATCTCAAAGCAGTATGGAAGTGCTGTGTATGGCAGTTCTCCTCAGAGAGGTTTCTGAGCAGGTAAACTAATTGTGTAACTGGGACAAGATGATTTTATAATCTCAGCCTTTTGTAAGTTATTTCTTACAAACTGTAAGACCCCTGACTTTTAAAAAGCTCAAATTATTTAATTCAGGGTTTGGGCAGGTAGAAAGATAAGCCTGAGCTCCTGCCTCGAAACTGTGCATATACTATATTTTAGGTGTTCATACAAATTAAACTGAAATGCCATTGAACTAATTTGAGGTAGTTGCAGTGGTTTGCCTGTTAGTTTGGAATTTTCCATCAGAATACTGTTTTTGCAAGATTGCAGCTCTTGGCAAGAAACTTCAGTTTTTCCCAGAATGGCTTTGTTGGGTAAACTGAAACAAAAGCTCTTGCTCTCGCACAGCTTTCTTTTTCTCCTCTGCCTCCTGTTTAACTTCTTCATTAACAGAATTAGTAAGGAACTTGGAGGATGAGTTGCCATAGAGCCAGAGAATAGTTTTAAATGGAATATTTTCAGTCATGGAAGTTACCTTTCACAGAACTTTTAACTCTGGTTTTTGTGCCAAATAAAATTGATTTTTCATAGGAACTGTAGGAGTTTTCTGTGAAAGGTAAGCCTGAGATTTGACCAGCTCTGGTGTTTTTGCAAGGGAGATTAAAGGTAAGGATATTTGTAGGGTTTTTTTTCTCTTCCTCTCTGCTAGTTAGCACTGAGTATTGGACTCAGCCTTTGGAAATGTGGTGCAGAATCGTTCCAACCTGTTTTCTTGACTCAGGCTCTGGATCTCAGGATGTGCTGTTTGTGTTGTGTTTGCATGCCAACCAGTACACTTACACTGAAAAGAATTTGTAGCTGTTGGCCTCAGTCAGTAAATCTCATCTCTAAACATCATGTCATGGATCCCTTAAATTTCTCCAGTTCCACCTCCTGTCAAATGGTAACAAATAATCTCTCGTGGGTGTGAGCTGAATGAAACTTCTGGGAAAATTGTAAATGACGTCAGGTCCTCTGTACTCGATGCTTTAGAGAAGGAGAGTCAATACATTTTTCTTGGCAAAAAGTACAGTGCTTATGCCAATTGTGGTTGGCTTTTATTTCACAGTATAAACTTTGTTTGTTTTTTATTTACAGCTAGATAAAATCTGTCTAAAAAATATGTGTCTAACTGGTGTGTTTTAAACCAGAGGATTGTGATAATGATGTGTCTTAAAAGTGCATTATGATTATCAGTCCTCAGAACAAGGTCACTGTTGATCAGGTTAGTTTTAAGAAATTGTATTTGTGGGGGGCTTTTGTTCATCCCAAGTTAGCAGCTGAAACAAAAAGATACAACCCAGTGAATTCTTGTAATTTGGATGTATTTACAGTCTTACACTTGGATCTGTTCACCTATGCAGTTCCTCACTGATTTTTGAGCGTGGAGATTGTAGGATTGTGGCTCAAAATTTATTCAGCAACCATAAAAGTTACTTAATTTCTGCAGTTGCATTCATTAAGTGCTGATCATTGGCTGTTGATAACACTAGTGATGACATGACCAGTGAAATTTGCTTTAGGAGTCAATAGAACTAAAGTTTCCTTGAGAAAGGAGCTCATTTTGTATAAAATAAATAATTGTACACTATTTCAGTGAATGCTATGGGGCATTAAAAACTGATTTCACTGTATGTTTAATTTAACTTATCCTGGAAAAAAGTTTAGAACTTATCAAATGTTGTAGTGGTAAGATGTATCATGATACTGTATTTTTAAATTCTATTTTACCTATGGGATTGAAGCTGGTTTCAGTTACAAGCCATTTATACATTTGTTCTGTTGAATGACATTCAAAGCAGTGTACAAACTGCAGCCATTCCAAACATCAGAAATTCCCACAGAAATGAGCAGTCTAAACAATTTTTCAGTTGTTCTGCAGACTCAATATGATTAATTAAAATCATTAATTGAAGTAGCTGAGAACTGGAGGATGAACAATTTGATTTACACTCTCTGCCAACAAGCTAAAAGAGTTCTTACACCTGTCTCTGGAGTGCTTTGTCTTGACATGACAGCTGTCATAGCATTGGAAACTGAGCTTATATTAAGAGGTGCTTTTTCATAGGGAGGAAATGGCTTTTGCATTTGACAAGTGTTTCTTTTCACAGCGATAATTCACAGGTGTTCCAGGCCAACGTCTTGCGAACCCGCAGGAACAGCACCACGGTCATGAATCGGCACAGCCCGGTAAGAAAACTGTCAGACCAACCCCACTCTGTGCAAAGCAGAAGTGTGCAAACAGCAGTAAACAAAATTAGATTGTAGTCTGTGAAACTAACACCACGTGCTTTCAGAAACAAGGCTCTGGACTGTGACATTAACACGCCGTGGCCAGAGTAGAATGTTACTTACAGACCATACTTGTCATTGTGATCGTAACTTTGCTTATAAAATGCAAGCAGATGCTCTAGGATAGAGTAGGAAAGGTATTTTGCAATGAAATCTAATTATGTAGCTGTACTGTTGATCAGTAATTTGTGTTAATGATTTCTGATGCTTAAGAAAAAAAGGGCAGTGATGCTCTGATCTTAAATAGTCTTTTATATAGAAATGACAGAATAGACTGTTCTAATTCACAACTGCAATAACAAGTTAGAACTGGCTGACAGGACATTAATCTCAAGACTTCCAGAATGAATGATGCCATGTGTCTGAGACATTCATTTGTGATTTCAGCTTTTGTCAGACTTCTGGTGTTACAGCTCCTCAGATCTGAATTTTTAAAATACTAATCTAAACCCATGGTGCTTCAACCCAGACAAAATGTTGCATATTTTGTGTTTTAGTATCATGCAGAGTTTTGGTAGAAGGGTGTAATTTTGACTGATTTAGAACACCTGTACATGATCACAGCATGGTTTGCTAACCCTTGCAGGGTTAGGGAACAAGGGGTAGTTATTTCGTCTCCCCAAAAGGGATTTTTGGTCAGACTTCCATGTATAACCAGAAATGTAACTTTTTCCCTAAGACAGCCTTAAGAAACGGGTAGACACAGGCTAACATCCAGCTGCTCTCAGTTGGTTATTAAATTTTGGAAAAATTTAAGCTCTGTTGGGGTGGGAGAGGAGTGGTATCAATTTAAAATATGGGAAGCAGAGTCCCTGTAATGCTGACAGCAGTTTTCCTGGTTCTCTTAGTTGCCTTTTGAAGGTGCATTAGAACTGACTCTTTAGCCCCTTGTTAATGGTTGAAGAATACTACTCTCCTATTTTGTTGACTGATGCCCCTTAGATGAAATTCTGTTTTAAGATCAGGACAGACAAATACTCCAGCAAAGGTCTGCATGTGTAACAGAACCAGGATACTTATGTACAAGTCCAGGAAGATTGGTGGAAAAGCCTTTCTTCTTCTGGGATATAAAACCTGATGGAAAGTATTATGGTAAAGATTTCTTAAGCAGGTCTCTCTCTTTATATGTATTTTTAGGGGGGCAGCTTAAGGTAAATCTGTTTATGCTTGTGGTCAGAGGGAAGGAGAAAAAACAAAGGTGAAAACTAAGTTTATTGTGTTTACTCCATTGTTGGGCTAAAAGGATGCCAATTCATTAATTCATGTTAATTAATTCTGGGTATTGCCCAGAACTTGCTGGGAAGCAGTTTGTTTTTCACTTGTGGGCTGGCTCTTCTGGCTGCCCCAATAGATGTTCCAGTCTTGGACTGAACCAGTGTTCCCACCTTCATGGGATGATGTTCTTGACCCTTCCCCTGTCATTAAAAAGTGTCCTGAAAGTTAACTTTCTTCTTCACTCCCAGCTGACCAGGTGCTGACAAAATACAGTTGAAATTTTACTTATGCCCCATTGACTGCTTTGAGATATTCCATAGAGTTATGGTCTGGTTTGTGGTTTTGTTGAAGATTGCAAGGAGGATGGAATTGGAAATGAGCCTTGGGATTCTCATCCTTCTGTGGTCTTAAACCAGGATCATCCACAGATAAATGACTTTGTGAAAATAATTAAACTTTCAGCACTAAGGACCCTAAGTAACCTCCCCTGGTATTCCTGCTGTAGCAAGGAAGTACGTGTAGTTTTATGATGTTAGAGATATTGTAAGGAGTTAGATCACATCTAATTTTGTAAATTAAATTTTACATTAAGTAAGTGATAAAGGTACTTCAAAATCCACTTTTTTGTATTTAAGAAAACTAATCCAAGTTTCATTGCAGTGTAGGCTTTAATAAAGAGGGTTAAAAGATTCAGTAAGTGACTGAAAATGTGTTAATTTAGTATTATAAGTACAGATAAAGTTTTATGTTTTGTAAACTTTGTGGAAGAAAGTTGATTAGTATTTATCTACTCTGTGTTCTCTGTCATAGGAGCAGTGGGAGTTGCTAAAATCTCTGATAACTGGAGGTCGTACTCCATCAACTGCATCTTCAGGGCTGTCATGGTCATCCCAGTTGCTCAACGAGTTCTAAAATCTATTTTTTGAGTAGCTTCCCTAAGTCTCTGACTCCAGCTGTTTTATAATGGATGTCTGCAAGGGGCATCTCTACCATTTGGGCTAAGGCTTGATCTGCAGTTTTCTGACACTACAAGGAAGGATCTGCTAGGCTCACTATCTGCTGTTTATTTCCTTCCAGGAGATATCAGTGGCACTGGGGAGTAAATGTTTTGGTGTTCTTTTTGTTTTGTGTGGTTGGGGTTTTGTTTTGTTGTTTAAAGCAAAGTGGTTGTTTAGTCCGTTGTTAGATGTTTAGGTGCTGTTTCAGCAAAAGCTGGGTTTTTTAATTTGTTTCTAATTTTTGTTGTTTTTCCAAACCCTCTGTGAGTTCCTTGCTGGGGTTCAGTGTGGCCCCACAGGTGGCTGTGCTGGCAGGAGGCAGAGGGCACTGCAGGGCAGGGCAGAGGGGCCGGGGCAGTCGCTGCTCACTTTGCCCGTGGTGCCTCCAGACTGGCACTTCTGAAACTTTACCTGCAGTGCAAAACAGCATCTGACACACTGGAGAAGGGGGGAAGGTGTTTCTCTTCCCCTGTAGTAGTCTAATAGTTTGTAATGTTTTTATTAACTTTGTGCTCTCTTAAAACATTGGAGATTTGAGTAACATAATTTTAACAGTTCCATCTGTTTAGCAAATATCCTTTAAAAGTGATTGCGGTTTCTTTTCACAATAATGAATTCAAAGGATACAAACAGACCAGAAGTGAGTTTTAAATGTTAACAAAGTGAGGATGATGACTTGTTGGAAACAAGGTGTGGGATCCTCAGAGTTAAGTCAGTGCATTAGACCCTGCAGAGGAACACTTAACTGCCTTTTTATAATTTTCATTTTACACCACAAGCCACAGGTTTTGTACATATTCTATTAATGTCAAACCTTAAACTGTGTGGATCACAGTCATAAAATTAGAATATAATGAGTGGAACAAATGCATTTCTACTGTGGAATGACAGAGTGAATAGGCAGGAATGCACTATTGTCCAAATCCTTTTCTCTGTGTGAGAATCAAGGTCAACTCAAGGTCTACATTGGCTAGTGCAGCTTGGAGGAATTTTTATTAGGTGTAGAGGATTTTTGGGAGCCCAGTATAATAGCAAAGCTGACCTAAACTGGACTTAAAAAGTAGCCAGTCAGGATATTATAGCTGTTAGACTTTAGTACTATATATATTATGATGACTAAATTCTAGGACAAACATTAGACATCCCCTGTGTGAGTCTGATAGGCTGAATTTTTTTGAGAAAAGAAGGGTGTGATGTCTTGAAGTCTTGTTTTTTTAGAAGCAAGATTCTGGATATATGAAGCATTAATTGTTTGTGATAACTTAACCATGACTCTGTGTCAGAAGCAAAATCTTTGTATTCTCTCTGGCACTGATTAGAAGATGGTGCAGTAACAGTTAACTGAATGTTTGTTGGTTCTCCAGCTTTAGCATGATGAAGAGCTCTAGTAATGTTTTGTGAAAGGGCTGAAGCCTTTTACTGAATAAATTGTATAAACACTCATAATAATGCAAACCTTTCCTTCTGAACATGCCCATTTTTGAAAAGACACCTTATTTTTTGGAAGGATTTTCATCTTACAGAGAAGTTAAACCTCTATTCACAGCTTTAGCTTAGAATTTTTGTTCCCTGAATGGCTATGACAAAAATCAACTGAGGGCTGACAGTTTGAGGGGTGGGAAGTATATGAAAGAAAATTATATTTTGGGAAAATAATCACTTTAAATTATTCGGTTTTGAGTGTTCAGTTTTAAATCATAGTGTTCCAGTGGGATCTTGATGCAAAACTGTCAACATTAACAGAGGACCATTTTTAGTGGCGTCTTCTCTGATTTCACCCAAATTGGTGAAGCTCTTGAGAAACCATAAAGAAAGTGTTTAACTCTTTGTTACCCTTCTCATAGCTGATTTTTTTCACCTGTCAAAGTACTCATTTATAGGCGGACAACAAACCTTTTTGTACAATGTGTTGTTTTGGCTTTGTATTTTTAAAGGATCTGTTGGGGAGCTTTCTGGCTCGCTTAAATGAAAATAAATATTCTGAATCACATAAAGGAAAATATTTATGCCAACATATATACTGAGGGTGGCAGGGTGTTAGTGAAAAGCAGCCCCATTCTGCAGAGAAGGCTGTCAGTTCTAGTTGCCTGGAAATGGAATGGAAGCCAGGCTGATACTAATTAGCATCTGTGAGCATACCAAGCAGCACAATGTGGAGATACATATTAACATGTTCTTGCAAGCAAATAACATAGCTTATATGTACTGAGAATGTTATAAGTTATTTTTTTTAATTGCTTTTTTGTAGTTTGGGGTAGCCCTAGAGAGTGGTTCCTGATGTTCCTGCTGCACCTTTCCCTCCCTTCTGCTGTACTTTCAGTTGTCTGTGACTTTGTTTTGCAGTTTGTGCCATCGTCTCCTATCCGTATTCCCAGCAGCCGCCTGCATCAAATCAAACAGGTAACCACAGAGCCTGATCTTGTTTAAATTTTAGTTTTTTATAGGTGGATGTGTTTTTTGCAGTTGATGTGTAATGTTCTTCAAATGGCTGTGGATTTTATTTTCAAATGGCCTACCCTGCTCCATGTTTCATGAGGCAGAATGCATCTTACAGCGAGAAGAGGATTTGAGCAGAGGGAGGAATCTTAAAATGGACATTTTACTTTAATGTAAGCTCTTAGGGTAAAGTTTCACCAAGTTTTTGGCAGCAGTACCAGCATAAATATTCAGGGCCAATAACAAAGTGTTCCTTAACTTGTGTTGGCTCAAGACTTTTGTGCAGCCAGAAAACGAGCAGGATAAGGAAGCACTCTGGCTAAAAAATAGTTTATGCTCTTCTTACTGGGCTATTTTTCATCTGTATAATTTTCTTATCCAGATCCCTGTGCTTGTGCTGTCACAGCATGAACGGAGGGGGAAGGGCACCAGAGCAAACACATAGGGAGGGGGTGGTGTGGGGAATATCTGAGCAGGCTCAAATAGCTCTGCTCCCAGCCAGCAACCACAGTCTGAAGACTCCAGCTTTAAAATCAACAAGCTCAAGCTCTTGTGGCTCCTTCATTTTATATCTCCACTTTTTGACAGTAGAATGTTTATAAAAATGGCTTGAAGATGTTTGAATTTTTTTTTTAATGATTTTTTTCTTAGCTTGCTAGTTTTTAATGGATAGGCTTGATTTTTACAGGGTGAAAAGTTAAGAAAATGATTTAATGCTTCAGACAGCATTTTTAGGGTATGCTGTCTGAGGTAGTGGAAGGCACTTCTGTTTCCCACCTCAGATATTTAAGGTACTTGCACAGTAAGCCTGGAGAAAATAACTGCTTGCTTTCATTATGTAAATAATTTACAGGCTTAAAGAGACTCTGAAGCACTTGGGTCAGTTGTAGAGCTGTTTTTATCAATATAAAAAAGCTTAGGATTAATATGTAAATATCATAGAATCATAAATTAGTTTGGGTTGGAAAGGACCTTTAAAGGTCATCTGGTCCAACCCCCTTTGCAATGAGCAGGGAGATATAATGAGAAATGCTGAGAGCAAAGGAATGAACTGCTGTGGCTCTGCTGTATTACATGAAGTAAAGTTTTATAATTCAGTTTTTTGGAAAATACTTTGGCATTCCTATTTGTTAAAGCAAACAGTGTAATTTCTTAATGTGTGTTTGATCGTTAAATTCACAAGTTGGAATTAAACTTAGTGAGAACCATGTGATTTACTTCTGATCTCTTTCAAATCTGAGCAAATTACCAGACAGGTGAATTACATCAGACTCTTCCTTCTTATGATGAAGACTGTGAAGATGTTTAGTTGAACCTTTACTCTTAAACTGGACTGAATTAAAGAATCTACTCATTCACTCAACAGACTGGGTGGCATTCAGTTAATTTTTAAGGAAGGCTGTCTACCTAAGAGGAGATTGAGTCAAGTTTGCATTTGGTGTTAATGTTTAGTTTAATTTTACATATTTGAGCCATTTTAATAGTATTTTATGGAGATTTTTTTTTTTTTTTAGAAAAAAACCCTCACTAAATCCCAAATTCACTGTGTGCAATGCAGTGTATTGCAAATGAGATGCTGACAAGTGTCTAGTTAGTCACTAATCCATAGAATAAGGTAAGAATCCAGCCATGCTTTTGAGGATTATCTGTACCAGTGTCCACTTTATGAAATGACATTATGCAAGACTGCATAAAGAGGCTCTAGCATGTGCAGAATTTTTGGTTCATATTATTATTATTCAGTTTCGTAACTAGCTCTTGGGTAGTAATGAAAATAAAGCTGCTTGGGAAACAACGAGCTCACGTAAGCACTTTGTATGTGATGATCTCTCTTGCTACATCTTTCTCATCCTCTCTTCACTCCTTTTCTTGTAGTGAGAGCGTAAGGTTATTGTTGCTTAGGGGAGTTGAATTAAATTTTCCGCAAGACAAAGTGAAACGAAACCACAGCTTTTCTGATCTGCTGCAGCAAAGGGCTTTTTTTTTGATCTTATTTTTTCGTCTGCTGATCTTTTAGGAAGAAGGGATGAATCTGCTGAACAGAGAAACAGTTCGTGAAAGGTGAGCACTAAGGCAAACTAGAGCAGTTACCTCAGCTGTCTGTGGGCCCGGGACAATACGTTTCTTTTCTTCTTTATAGAGAAGTGCAAGTAGCAATGCAGATGAGCCACTCATGGGAGGAGAGCTTGAGCCTGGTAATGCATTCATGCTTTAATTTGTGTTTCTATCATCAGTATCAGGACACTAGAGATTCTCTCGTGTCAACGTTTTCTTTGATAGTTTGACCTACAATTAAGGTGTTAGCATAGCACTGCTTTTGATCAGCAATTTTTCACACTAACAAGGCATAGAATTATCAGTTGTTCAAGGCACATGTGGGTTCCTTGGGCTGGTATGTCAAAAGGAAATTGCATGGATGTCTGCTTGGTCAAATTTTCTTCCATGTTCTGATACCATGTAATATTTAAGGCTTTTTCATTGTTAAGCATAAGCTCATAAATAGCTACCTAAAAATTATTGATATGATGGAGGATAACTTTGGAATTTCACACCAGTCAATCCTTTTTATGTTAAGGTACCTGCTTATAAGATTAATTATATGTACTATTTACTATTTACATATTTACAGAGCGACAATGATTTTGAAAAATCACTATCACCAAAACAAGTAGACTTTGTTCCAGTTTCTCCAGCTCCTTCACCTACAAGAGGAATAGGGAAGGTGAGCAAAATGTGCTAATAATGGTGTTATCTTGAGTAGTGCTAAATAAATTCAGCCAAATTAGTAGCAAAAGATTAAGCCACCTGCTCCTTTCTACCTCAGCTGCAAACAAGAAACTAGAGAGTAAATAAACCCCCCTGAAACCCCAAACCAGAAAATACCAGCTAGCAGCTGCACAGCTTGTGGATGTGAATTTCTATGGAGTGTTCAGCTATTAATCTGTAGTTAACAAAAAATAAATAAGTCTGTTTAACCAGAGTATGGTGAAATAAATCTGCATGAAAATGGAATCTGTCCAATTTTTAATTTTTTTTTCCTCAGTAGCAGAAGGTGGTGTCTCACTATCAGCAGCCTCAGTGACTGGTTGCTGAACTTGATACTGGGTTGTTTATTTCTCTGCATCAGCATCACTTGGTACCACAGGAGATTGACACAGACTTTATAAGTAAATAACATAACCTGTTTTCCTCTCAGCAATGTTTCTCACCATCCTTGCAAAGTCTGGTCAGTAGCAGTGGATTGCCTCCAAGTCCCAGCCCAAGTCCAACAAGGAGATTTTCAAGGTAAGTACCAGATCATATCAGTGATGAGACACCAGCATAACTTGTTCACAGTAGATGTTTGAAATACCAGAATTCGTTATATTCATCATTGATTTCTGAGCACAAATACAAATTTTTATGCTGGCATAAACTTTAGATTTTACAGTGCTGTAAAACATTTGTCAAAATCCTCATGTCACGACATTGGGCAAGGGGTCTGCGCTGTGGCATCTGTCTTCTCACTGTAGTTTCTATTGTGCTCTCAATAGATCTTAAGTAATTGAATTCTTGGGGGAAGAAAACACAAGCAGATTTAGGGTTTGTTACTCCTTCTGGGTTTTAGTTGCATTGGATGTTGTTTTGAGTGATGTGGGCTTATAATTAAATTTTAGTAGGCCTTAACAGTTCAGCAAAGCACTGCCTGTCAACTGAGATGTAGTCAGTGCCTGCATGTGAGGTTTTAGACTGCCCCAGTTGTGAAATAATGTGATTAAACTTTTGCTATTCGGGTCTGTGCTTCCTGGTCTTTTTTCAGGGAGGAAAAAAAAGGACTTGCTCTGGATAAGCTGTTATAATGCCTATTTTCTTAGTATTTTTCACTTAGTAGTTTGTTTTCTGAGTATCTTTTGATTCTTCATATGTTTTCAAACTTCTTTTTTTTAATGATGATCTCAGTATAGCAAATGCCTTCTTTTAGCAGGAGAAGCCAGAGTCCAATTAACTGCATTCGACCGAGTGTTCTTGGATCAATAAAAAGAAAAGGTACAGTATTTAGGTTTGGCTATTATAATAGGCCAACTTGTTAGTTATATAATAATTCATATAGCTTTCTTCACAATTCTGTTCAATTGGCTGATACTTCAAAAAGTGACTAGAAATAGAAGGTATTACGGATGATAAAACATCTTTATTCCATAAAGCTAATAGTTGTTCTGTCTAGTGCTTATCTATCTTCCCACATTTTTCTTCAAGTTTAACTTCTGGCTATTTTATTGCATCTGTTTTTACATCTTCCTGCTTCACCTTCGTTACAGAACATTTCTGACTCTGAGACAGCTTCTAAAATACTTTTATCTGAGTTCTGTCATAGCCTATTTAAGCATAGATCTCTCCTTTCTTGTTCTGGAGTATTTGGAAATTAAAGTCAATGTAAAAATTTTTACATTGGACCTTGTTCTTTTTCATTATTCTCAGCTTCTCTGCTCTGGTGGAGCTGGTCAGTGAACTGATAGCTGGATAAACTGAAACAAAAAGATTATTCTTTACTACTGAAGAATAAATGTCTGATATCTAAACCCCAGCTAATAACTCACTAAATACTGAAGCTGGGACTAAAATGTTTTGAAGAAATAGGCAGTGTTTAAAATTTCAGCATCTAAATTCTATGGTTTAAATATAAAGGAATCTATTGTAATAAGTTTGAACCTGTATTCTGTTTCCTCTGTGGAAGTACATTGAAAGCAGATTTTAGTTTGAATGAATAGTAATTTTTATCATTGCTTCTCTTTTCCCAAAGGTGTGACAGAGATGGAAGATCATCCCAAAAGATTATTCCAAGGATCCACCAACATGCTTACCCCTGAAGCTGCACATCAGGCAGACCTTGGGGGATGGTAAATGCTGTGTTATTCATTGTCCCTTTCAGCAGCAGCATACCAGTCTTTTTTTCTTCTAGCAATGATTATACTTGGTTTTGTTTGTTTGTTTGTAGTACAGACATCTCATAACTTTACAGCACTGAAATTGTCACAATAAACAGGCATTGATATTCCCTATAATTTTACAGTTTCTAGGCCTGACTGATAACATGCTTCCCCTATATGGGAGTTGAGCATGTTTAGGAAAAGACACCTCATGGCTGGCAGTTTTCATAGTCCAGTTTCAAGCTGCAATCAAATGTGAATGCTGATGCTTTTGGGTGGATGGGGTTTTGTTTTTTTTCCCTTGCTCTTAGTCACAGAGGAACATGAGTCTGTCTGACCCTCCCTGCTGGGAGGAGATAAAAAGTACTTTGTTAAAAATCATAATGACTCAAAATAGCAAGGGATTTTGATCTAGTGTTTTAGTCAAGAGGTTAATAATACACAGGGTGTGCCCACACAGCTATCAAGAGAGGGTTGTTCACAGTACTTCTGTCCTTTTTGCCTCTCAGCTGATGTACAAACTGTGCGCAAGCTTTGAGCACATTGCAGTAGCAGTAGCAAAATAGATGTTTTAAAGGTACTTCAAAAACATACCCTTTTTGCACACCCTGTTCACAGTAGGCATAGCAGTGTGGATTAAATTGCTTCATCTTGGTTTAGGAGATGATAATTTTTAAAAAATCGCTTTGCTGCTGTCACTGATGATAGATCACTGTAGTTACAAATTTGTGTCCTGTGAGATCTGCAGTACACTGGAGTATGTGCAGTTTATTGTTGTCTCTCCTGGCATAAGAGACCCCTGGCTGTGTGCTGGTCCAAGGCCCTGGGGATGGGGTAAAGCTGGCAGGGGGTTGCTCAGCCCAGGTCTTCTAATCTGTGCCCCATTTCTGGGTGAGCAAAGGAGGAAATGGGCAGAGTGTTCCATGACTGTCTGGAAGTGGCTGCAAGGATTGGGTTTCAGATGGATTTCAGATCATGGGGCTTTACTGCTCCTTCAGAGATGTACATGTGTGCTTGAAAGGGCTTTATAATGAGTGGAGCTGGTATTGGGACTCCCCAGAGCCTCGTTTCTCACGTCCTGATGTTGCTCTGTTTTCAGTCTGTCCTCACACGCCCTCGATGACAACAGGAGCAGTGCCGGCTCCTCCTGTGACTCCCCAGCAGAAGTTGGCACCAGCACAGACTCTCCAGTCTCGCTCTCTGACTCCAGATCCTCCTTTTTACCAGTAGATCTTACGGCCAAGTTACCCATTAACTGAGGAGCAGGAGTCTGCTGATGGACACCAGGAAACAGGCTGGATATCACCGAGACTTTCTGTTGTGTGTAACCGATTCTGTTCCTCATAGGAACTTCCAGGAATGTCATTATTTCTAGAAAACTTCCAGAGTAGTTCCTTGAGGAGGAATTCATGTTTCTAGTGATTTGTATGACATTTACTAAAATAACAGCAAGCATTTGGGTTGCAGACTCATTGGATGTTCACATCAGCCAGCAAGATGTGGATTTGCCATGGATATTGTCTCCTTGGTATGAATTACAAAGGCTGGATGTGCATCCTGCTTGTGGAAGACTTGGCTTGCCAGCAGCCAGTGTCCTCCCTCATATAATGTGGTGCTTGTGTAGGAGCAGATAACTGTCATATTTGTCCTCAGTCTGAAACCAGTGAATCAGCTTACTAATTGTTTTTATTCCCAGAGTGTTAGATATTTATATTTTTTAGTTCTTCATGTGTAAGGGGGAATACTGGGGTGTGGGGGGGAATTGTTCTGATTGGCTCTTAATCAATTCTATGTTCCAATGGATGTCCAAAGAAGAAGTTGGTGAATTGTCAACATAAATTTATATGTTGGATTTTATATGACTGCTGTTTTGGCTAAATCTAAATTAGGTGTGGAACATTCTTCTGGGGTTTTGTATTATTTTCTTCCCCATTTAGATGATGTATTGCAGTGGTAGATGCTCTGTTAAAGGTCTTTTAATAGGGAAAAGTAGTGGTAATATTTGGAACAAGACATTAAATCCTGAGGCTTTAGTATTTAGTACTTCAGAAATGCGTTATTTTAACAGTCAGTATTTGTCCTCCTATATGACTTGTGTTGGACAGATACAGTGAGAAATCTTGAATGTCTTTTTACAGGCTGAGGAGATCAAACCTGTTTAATCTGTATTTAATCTCCTGATGTCACTTCGTCAAACAATGACATCAAGTCCTTTCTGCTGTTGAAAACTTCAGATGCTGATTGGAAGCTGGAATCTGGTAATCTGAGATGTTTGAAAAGTCAATGTGTTGAGGCATCCTGATCTCAACTCTGAGATTCCCCAAACAGGAGGAAAAATATGCAGGCCCCCCTATAGACAGCTGTCTGTAGAGATCTTCCAGTGGCAACCTCATTTAGGTTTTGGGCTCCTGCTGTGCATCCGAACTTCCCCAGCTGGGTCCCCATTTGTACATGCCTGTGCTGTGTGGTTCCAAACCTTCTCTTCTGAGAGGTTTATAATGAAGCAAAACGTTTTATTTTTAAACACTAAATCTTTGTAGCGTGTCATGAAGCAAGAAAAGTATGGAAACATCCTCAAGAAGGAGAAAAACCTGCCCTGAACTCTGCTGTGAAAGATTCACATGGGTGAAGCTTTGATGGGCAGCAGCCATCCAAAGCAGAAGTGGATGACTTGGAGCGCAAAGACCCGGCGACCTGAGGGCCAATGACCCGTTTCCCTGTGTCCTTATTGTAGAGAGAAAATAGAATGTATTTAATAGTCTGACGCTGTTCTAGGAAGATACGACATGGTTTACTTCTGATATCATTCCTCTTAAATTATTGTAATATCCCCTTGCTGGTTGCAGTTCCTCTCTGAGGTCCAGCTGCCCTTTGTCCCTGTGCAGACGGACACGTGAGGGTTGGTGTCTGTTTGTCTGACAAGGCAAAGTTTGGTTTTGCAATTTCAGGTATGTGCCAAAGAGTTGCTGTGCGTTCACTCTTCTGTGGTGAGAGCAAGACTCTTTTTTAAAAAAATCTTGCTTATTTCTTAAGAATGAACCTCCTGGTGTCTCTTCGAGTCTTTGTTAAAAGATTCATCAGTGGAGGGGTTTCATAGCTGCGTGTGGGTCAACTTGTCTCTTCTCTGTTGAATATTTATGCTATTTTTCAAATAAGTGCCAATAAATGGAAAAGTAAATGTGTTTTGCTGTTTCTGCACTTTGTTAGATAACCATATTCTTTTTTGTTCATCTGGGATTAAATGCTTTCTTTAAAAATCAGAATATCTGTTGTAATTTACTTCCACCCAGTCCAGCTTACATTTAAGTTTGCCTTAAAATCTGCAGCAGACTTACTTGTGTTCCTAGTGCAATGCTGTCTTACAGGTCTGTGACAACCCTTGGGATAAAGGAGAATAAACCCAAACATTTTCAAAATACTTCAATAGCTACACCTGTCCTGAGTTTATACCTAGAGGAAGTTGTGGTGAAGTCCTTTGGAAGACAGAAGCTACTCTGCTGGAAAATACTGAGGGTCTTAACTCTTGGGAGGAAGTGGGGAGTCTGGTTTGCCTTAGTTGGGCAGTTAATTATAGAATCACAGAATGGTTTGAGTTGGAAGGGACCTTAAAGATCATCTCATTCCAACCCTGTGCCATGGGCAGGAACACCTTCCACTAGACCAGGTTGCTCAGAGCCCCATCCAGCCTGGGCTCAAACACTTCCAGGGATGGAGAGTCCACACCTCTCTGGGCCAATTAATGTTGTTGGAGAGAAATAGTTATTTATTTGCATCCATTCCTTTCCCTGCTTTTGCAAAACAGAAGTTGCTTTGAACTCAATGTTCATGAATCTCAATGTTTTGATTCCACGTCACCAAGAAGCTGCAGTTTCGTGCCCTGGAGTCAGGAGACATGTATAGGGTTTTTTTCCCATTGAAATTAAATGTTAAATTTTTAAAATAAATTATCCTGCAAGATATGTATCTGAATTCAGGGAATCAGGGTGTCATACAATGTGCATAATCAACCCAGTACTCAAGTAGTAACTCATGCTGTTGGTATTGCCTCTGTTTTAGTAACTCCTCATTTCCTCGTGACCAATGAATGCCAAAGGTTTGCTTGAATCTGTGTCACTGTCATGGGGCTGTTGCATGTGGTGTCCCTTAACTGAGCTGAGTTTGTGACAAGTGTCTGTGCCTTTGTCTTCTTCTGAGAAGAAATGAGCAACTTTCTCAGCTCGGGCCATATTGAAAGTATTGTGATCATATATATATAAAATTATATCATTATATATAAATTTCTTTATTCTGCAGCCCTTTTGGGGCACACAGCTGCTTCTCTCCAGGATTCTACCACTAATGGCCCCTTCCAAAGTCACACTTGTGTTTGGCACTTGATTGCTCTGGTTGAAAACTATCCTGTAGGATTTGTTGGCAGTTAAATCGGGTCTTGGGCCGCTGTGTCTTCCCTGACAACTGATGGATGTTTTTCTTCCTTCCACCTTCTCTGCAGTGACACAGTTGCTGAGGGAAGGTTGGTAACGGTGCCAGTGCTCAGGGGGCTGTATTTTTGGAATGAGCGCTTCGGTGGTTACTGCATTTAGCAGAGGGAGATACTTCACACCGGGAGAGAGGCACGAATGCCAGGAGAATGAGTCTGTGCCTCAGCCAGGCTGACTTACAGGGTCTCCTGTGAGCTGTCAGCAAGGTGGGTGACCTGAATGCTCAGCTGAACAGCTGCCCAGAGTCCTCCTGAGATCAGTGTGAACTTAATCCTGATTTATTTCTTTTCAGCTTTTTTCGGAAAACTTGAGTGTAAATAATCACCAACCAGTACAAACAGAACAGGTCTCCAAAGTCTGGTGAGACTGAGATACTTTGATTTATAGCTGTGTGTTGTGGTTCCATGTCATTGCTGTGTTTGTGAGTCCAGCCCTGCTATTGTGCAAAGATTTGCCAGTGAAGTGACTGAAGGCAGGAGGGGCCTCTGGCACTCCATGAGCTTGAGAACAGCTTGTGCCTCCCTTGGCAGTCGTCATTTCAGAAATGTTCACTTTATGCTGTTGTGTTCTTGCATATGTCGGAGTCGTAACTCATTTACTTAAAATAGAGAACTTCAGGAGTCATAATTAAACTCTGTGAGCTCTTTCTATCCTGTTCTAACAACCTTTCTCGTCACCAACTGGCAGATGGAGTTTAAGTTGATCCCTCTTCTCCTGGAAGCAACAAGTTAAAATATTTGTAAATGCAATTGAATGTTTACAGCTACAGTACAGTAATTAAAACCTTACTGACACAAAGAGGAGTCCTTGGCAAGAGTCCTTTTCAATAACTGGATGCAAAAATTGTCACCTCAGGTTTGTTTCCTAAGGGTATGTCTTGGGTGATTTTTTTTTTTACCTGTACCAGTGGAGCCTTCCCATTTCTTTGTGTCTGGTGTGAGCATCCTGGTTTGATAATCTGGGGACAAGTTGCCAGTCAGCCCAGGCCTTTCTCCAGAGTCACAGAGCACTCCAAGCAGACACAGACACCCTGCATCCCAAAGACCCAGACCCTGTGCACATCCTGGAGGGGCAAGATTGCTTCCCCTGTTGGGTTTTTGTGGTAGAAGCGTGAGAGAGAGAGAGGAGGGGAAAAAAATAAACCACTGAAGGAGAATAACCTTGTTTGACTTTCAGTAGCTGGCTCAGGAACAGAACTTTCAGAAGGGGGGAGGAGTTGAGTGCATTTAAACAAAAACCAAACAAGGCCTCTACATGCCTTTGTGCTGGCTTCCCTGTGTCTCTCAAGGAACTCGTGAGACATCCCCAATGCCATGAAGAGTCTTCAGACAAATCCAGCATTTATCAAATTTAAAATTCTTCTGATGGTTTAGTTTCTTCATCTTTTACTTGCTTCATGAGAGCCTAGGAAAATGTTTATTATTTAAGATTTCTTTCCATGATAAACAATTGTATGTAAATGTTTAGAATTTTGCTGCATATCAGCCTAAGGAGGAAAAGCTGCTGAAGAGGGAGCAGGTTTTGCTGCAGGTACTAATCCATGGAAATGTGGCTCTCCTGGTTACTTTTTGCCCTTGTGTGGAGAAGAATCAAAACTATGATCAAGGTTTGTGGCACACATCGAGGTTTGTGGCACAGAAATCAGGTACTGTGTTGTCTTTCAGGCTGGTTTAAATTAAGCTGGCACTGAAATCGCTGCGAGAAGCTTCCTGCTAAAAATACATCAACATCCTTTCATTTCAAGTGCATTCACTTCAGCAGTCGGTTTCGATTTTGGAGATTCCTGGCAGATTCCTGAGGGAAAGGCGCTAATGGGTTTGGTGATGTTGATGGAACTCGGGATTCCAGAGCTTTACTGCAGTTTTATTTGTCTCTTGATGGTGGTTTCTTGTTTGTCAAAGCACAGCCTTGTCTAATGCGTTAATGTTCCTACCTCAAGCTGAGTGTCTGCAGTTTTCTAGAGAAGAAAACTCTCATTTTGCTATTGTAAATAATGTTTTGCTATTGTAAATTTTATTGCTGATTTTATTTTTTTTAAATTGAAAACATGGCTTTACCTTCCATTACAGGGAGCCTGTTTGTCAGGTAGACCTTCTTACCAGTCTTTTTCCTGACAGTGAGGAGGTCACTCTTTGCTTTGGTTGTGCCTGTAATCATGGTTGTGCTCTTGCTTAAATTACTCCTTTTCAGAGTCTCTGCTATTTCAAAGGCCAGTGCAGTTACTTTGCCTGCATGTAATTCCACATTATGTTGTCAGCATGGTTATACAGCTTTGCAAATTTTCGAGAGCTGATGGGCATTAGCTACAGTTCATTATCCAAAGTAAACAGCTCGTTAGTGTACAGTGGAGAGCTTCTATAGAAGACAAAAATAAACCCAAAAGTGAGTGTATCCATTTACTCGGCTTTAGTTGTTATGCTGTGTCCCTGCCTGTGTTCATTCCCCCAGCACTCCTTTCTGAGGATACACTTGTCCTCTGGGCTCCTTTCGTTTACAGTCCTTATCTGTAAATGGCTCTTGCTGAGGGCATAGCAGTAGTTTCCCAAACCTCACCAGCTTCTGTGCAGCACTAACAAGTGAGTGATGTGCTGCTGGCAACAAAGTACTTCACTCTCCTTCAGTGGTTTCAGTCTTAATTTCCTCGGGCAGCACGTTATTCCTGCAGGGAAGACTGCAGCACCATTAGCTTCGGGTGTTTCTCCTCCAGCTCTAGAGACAGATGGTGCCTTCCCTACACTGCTGTGAACAGGTGAGTGCCCTGTTCCACAGGACACAGGAGGGAACTTGTTTTCTACAACCACTCAACCCCCCATCTCTGCACGCAGCTGGCAGGAGGATCAATACCAGGATTGCTCAGCCTCACATGCTTTGTATGGCTTTCTGTTCCCTTCTTTTTTCTGCCTAAAGGGTCTCATGCAAGGTCAGAGGGCAAAGCACCTGAGCTGACCCGAGAACTCCAACTCCCACCTGACAGAGAAGGTGATTCAAGGTTTGGGGTGTTTTTAAGTCCTCCTGTACAAGGGTTTTTCAAAAACCTCCTGGTCCTTAAACTTGATGTTGCCCTGGATCACCATGGGCCCTCTGAAGCAAATATCACTTGGCACCTGAGAGCTCTCTTTCCTGTAAACAAAACATTCCTGGAACTGGTTTACTGGCTCAGGCAAGTTCCCTTCTGTAGCTTTGCCCTTCCAGTGAGGTGGATTACCAATAAATGTAGGTCTGAAGTAGGAGATTCATGACAAAAAAAAGGGATGGTGGAACTTGGCATTTATAAGGAAAGCTGTTACATGGAAAGCGAGGTGTCTTAAATGTACATTGACAAATGAGGACTAAAATGTTTTATTGCCAAACCTATTTGGCAGCCTCTTTCCAGTTTAGGCTTGTTGGTTATCAGATACTTCCTACATAGGAACATACAATGAAATAACATACGATTGGCTTTGACAATTCTTAACTACTTGATTGCAGGAAGGATTTCTCTGCTTTGTTGTTGAAGGCACAGTTGTGTGCATAGGCTCCTCTTGGAGCTGCTGGAAATGCCCCTGTGGAGCTATTTCCACGGCACCAGTGACTGTTCCCATCTGACAGCATGCCCTGTTGTCTTCCTGGGGCATGTTTTGAGGTGTGGCAGCAGCAGCCCAGCGTTTCCCTTTGCAGGGCCTGATCTGTTTCCAGGTGGTTGCCATGTGAGGGTACTGGACCCACTCTGCTGTCTCAGGGGCTCCATCGGCTGCGATCCCTGGTGGAATGAACCAATTCCCTAAGAGCCCCATCTGTCCCTGGAGCTCTGAAACAGCATCACATGTTTACTGCAGTTTCAAGTTTCTCCTCTAGAGAAAACAGGGTCGTTTAAGCATTTTCTGATCCAGACAAGTGCAAACACCTCGAGAAGATCATGTACCAAGCCTACAGCGACTGGGAGTGACGCTCCCAAAAGCGATCTCGGCAGGGCTCCCATTTCCTGCTGCCAGCATGGCTCGTTTGAGATATCGGTGCCACAGCAAGTGCTGGGTAAACAAGAGGATTGTTTCTGCTGGATGATATCAAAGCCCTCCCAACTGTCTGCTGAAAATACTTGTCCATTGCAAGGAAATGACTGTTTGTTTGTGTTAGGAGTCAGGAATGGGAAATGACGTGAACACTTAACTGTTTTTCCTGCTGTTTCTAGGAGGCATATTCGCTGTCTTGGGTTTTATTTCCAAAGGCATTCAGTGTTTTCTGAGCTCCTATTAAGTATTAGAGGTGTGTGCATGCACATATATATATATATATATATATATATATATATACACATACATAAAATCAGGAAATATCTTAAAAATCTTGTGTATTCACCTGGTAAATTTTTATTAGTGCCCCTCTGTGACCATGATGTAACATGATTTGATATATTCCCCCTCACAGTGCTGAACTCAAACTGTCCTCAGATCTCGTTTTCCCAACACTGTTGATAAATCAGTGATTCCGCAGTGTGCTGAAACCTCCCTGAAGTAGAAAAAAGTCAGAATTCACACTTGTCATCCTTATTTTGCCCAGGCACCAGTTTTATCTGCATCTGCTGAGTTACACTGTGCATTTAATCTTTTTTTATCTGTGTATTGCTCCTTGCTCGCCCTTGACAAAGTAGTCGTCCAATGTTTTAGTCTATTTGGTTGATGATTACTTTTTGTTACTGATTTCTTTGGTCAAAGTGTTTTTCTAAACCAATCGTTTCTCTTTAGATTCCTTGAAAACAAACACTGGCAGTCTGGGTCCATGTCCTGTGATCTCCCTTCCCCAGGCACCTGCTGTCCTGCAGGACTGAGGCAGCTGCAAGTGTCAGACTTGGTCACAGTGACTCTGAGCTCCTGTAGGTGAAATTGTCTCTTCTCTGCTTCTCCAAGTGCCTGGCAAAACATGATCCTGGCCCCATGACTGGAACGCCCAGATATGGGGGGGGGGGAAAAGTGGGTTTGTGTTGGGCTTTTTTAATCAGCTTGGGCACAATTAAATGTTTAGCCTGGCTTTTGGGTGCTAAGATAAGGTACCACACGGCAGTTTTATCTCCCCAACTTCTGTTCAGTTCCCTCACCCTTCCCCAGGCAACAGCAGGTTAAACTACCTTGTGAAAACCAGATTTAACAGTGGAGGTACTGAAGAACAGTGAAGCTACAAGAATACAGCCCTGCAGTGGCAGGAAAATAGACCCAACCATGAGCTCACTGTTGGAGACAAGAGCTGTGCCTGCAGCAGGCTCTAGGACTTGACCTACTCAGCCAGTTAAGAACAATTTTGGGGTCTTTTTTAGTGAATGTTAATGATTGACTTTATCATCTGATACTGATTGATGACACAATCTCAGTTCTTCCGAGAATCAAACTAAAGTAACATTTTATTGCCCTTTAAAGACTTACTGATATAAGTAAAAATGTAGTGAATAACAACTTTAATTCAACTTTTCTTTCTCCTTTTTTTAAAAGAAACAGCTTTTTCCATGGTTTGTTTGTACTTCCATGCATAAGCAGAAAAGGGACCCATAACATGCAGGGGTGAAGGGTTTAATTTCCAAATATTTATTCGTATCAGAGCATATTCTATAGACTTACGAACAGAGATTTGTGTGTATGATTCAAATGCAAGAATAGCTGCCCTTTTAAAATTAACATCTCAACAATGAAATGTCAAACCAAGGGAAATACTTGTTATATGAAACAAGATAAATGTTCACCTCAAATATGAAACTGGTATTTGAGCAGGAGTTTCTGATAGAAAAGAAGTCCCTGTGGTAGCTGTGGGGGTAGGGACTGTGTAGAGAAATGCCTTTGCTGCTATACTTAGTTTGTTCTCTAAAACAGAAAAAATGGTGAATTTTGTATTAGTGTGCAGGGTGAGTACAACTTCTGTTAATGTCACTTCCATGCATCCCTAAGAAATGAATGGATCTGATTACAGAACTTGTTTTTATTGTCTACAGTTGTGATACAAAATGGCTCTTGCAGAAATTATTTCCCCAAGTAAGAAAATGAGCACTCAGTGATATATTGGTAATGATGAAGTAAGAAATTTGAGAATTACTTCTTCACCTAAAATTCATGGTTTATTTCATAGTTTCACTGATGGAACTTTTAATTTTCTTCAATGACCAGTCACGACTCTGACCCCTCTGGTCTGTATACAGAAGTGTTATGTGCCAGCCTTGGCAGGTACAACCACAAACCAAATGAACGTTTTACAGAAGACAGTTTGCTTTTATAGTGATCACGCACTGATGTGAACATAGACTAAAAATAACAAATGTTGCTTTAATAAGGATTTTTTACAGTAGGCGTAGATATAAAAGTTTTTCAAATTATTTTCACAGGTATCACTGAACATTTCATAGCTGTCTGTTACAGAAGCACCGCAAAGTGCTTTGAGTCTTTCGTTTATTATACACAGTTAAAATATATTACACTTCTGAAGGTATCTTAAATCACTGAACAGTTTTGCTAGCATCTTAATGAGCCAAATGGGAGTAAAAGGCAGTCCACATTCATGATGTGAATATACAGTAAGGTGTTTGACATCCTATGAACTCACTGCTCATGTTCTCAAAATAACCATGGTGATGAGACCTGAAAGACAAGAATGAAGAAATAAACACTTCAATTTCACTGAATAAAACATTTAAAATACAGTTTACCATGTCACAGTCCAGAAAACAATGTAAAAGTGTGTAAATACATGCAGAATGCATTTATACATACACTTAAATATTAGAAGTATTGCTCCAAGTTTTGATGTAGTCAAAATCCAACACTGAAGTGTAGTTTATCTAATCACTGAATGTTAAAGAGGCTATAAATACTCCAAGCAATTACTGATCTCCCTACTGGAAAATCTTAACACTGAGATTTTGACTTAGGTAAGTGTAACAGTAGAACCCAAACCCCAGTTTTCACGGGGGCCAGTTATGGGCAGTGTCATTCAAATGCTGAATCATCAGTAAGGCAGATTAGTTGAAGGCTCCAAGGCTTTTTTTCTGCTCTGTGCAGAATAACTGATCAAAGACTAGTTTTACACAAAGATGTTAAGCTTCCTTGTCAGTCTGCAGAGAGAGCTTTCAACAGACTCTTTGTTGTGACCTTTAAAGAGGGAGGAAAAAAACCTCTGCTCTGATAGAGGTTAAAAACAATTAAAACCAGAAGAAAGCAGGAAATGTGGGACTAATAAACCTACTCATGGCACACCGAAAAGTTCACTTTAATTATGTGCTGATACAGGAAAAAGTACAAATCTGCAAGTTCTTAGCCATGGGTTATATTGCACAAGGCAAGGGAAGAACATTAAGGCTCCTTGAATTCCAACCTTATGTAACATCACAATAATAATTTATCAGTTCTTGGGCAATCTCACTTTCTTGGAGGCTCAGATGATGTCAGTGGAACAGCCTTTCACTGCAGAGAACTCAGCTAAAGCCTACAGATCTCACCATGAATAAAGATGTTTCTGAGACTATTTTACTCTCCTGCCACTACATAGTGATTTAAATTATTTACTCTATGAGACTGTGAAGACTGTGAAGCATGACAGAACAGAGCTGTAATGCTGCCTTCCATCAGATCAGTAATTTATCCATTACAGAGGAATTACAGTGCAGCTATTTTTTAAGGTCTGTACTGGCTCAGACAACCAGTGCTACCACAACTGCTGGAGGCCTGAATTTGGATTTATTCCATCATTGCAGAATAACAACAGAGGCTTCTGGAGGGTGCTTACAGGAAAGCCTGTACCACTTGCACAGGGACTTTCAGGCAGTAAAGGGTTTAACTCCTTTCTGTAAATCAAATACTTCTCAAATGTCATATAGCCCAGCTGGTGTGGTATAACAACCTTTTTCAATTAAATGCTCCACAATCCAGTTGTAGTTCCTTGTGGAAGAAAGTGGTTTCATCTTCTCAAGAATAATTGACTTCCTACACAAGCAAGAGTTGCGAACAAAAAAATCTGTCCATGAACACTAAAAATGCCACCAAAGGAACCAAAACCTGTCAAAACTTCATAGGGAATCAAGAAACAGGTTCAGTTGTTGCAAATGTATAAAGTCACATGGTTTAATACTGTAGTTGGCACCAGCAGAACCTGGAGTAATTTTCAAAAGCAGAGATAAAAACAGAGTGAGGATTACCGTAAGGTCCTGATCTGAGAGTCCATCAGCATCAGCTTGGGCAAAGAGCCACAAGTGAGATTTCAAACTGCTTCAGCAGATTGACCTGTGAGTCAGCTGACTGTGCATGAACCATCAAGAACCTGCACCTTTCCCCATCACTACCTCACCTCTAGCTATCAGTCTGAAGCTGCCTAGCTCGTTTCCTGTAAATCCTCATTTCTGCCAGGTAGTGGGACAGGAGAATTGAGTTTAGTGTGACTGTTCTTCAAATCTGAAATAGTTATAGAGAAATAGTCATAACAAATGAAATGTGTAACTTATCTATGCTTGCTAATGTAGGAGTTAAGTTACAAATCAGGAAGAACTGTGGATGGTAGTGGTCTCTTAGAAAGGATTTACAGTAACTTACTGCTACACACTTCAGCTGCTTGTCAAGAAGGCAGTGAGAATTGGGCCTTACAAACCAGCTCACCGGGGCTGGAGGGAGAAACACAGTAACACAAGAGCCCTACATTCTGCAATAGAGTAACTACTGCAATACAAGAATAAGAAACAGGACGTTCCATTCAGTTTTGTTGGCAGATGACCGTGGTTGGCCCATCATCAAATGAAGGTAAAATTAACATGTAGAGGCCTGTATGTAATAAGTATTGACTCAAATCTGGTCTAAAACACTTACAATAACTAATTTACCCTGCTGTCACCATGGCTGCAAATTAAGATATACGTGGGGATGCAAAACAAAATGTCATGTGGTGCTTTGTCTCCATCCAGCTTCCTGAAGCCACTGGCGAACACAGCTGAAGTTTTCCAGACTCACATAATTTGCAAGAAAACGTTTACAAAACCCAAAGTACTCACCTAAAACATAAGCAGCTACTAACTTTTGATTCACACTTAAGTGGAGGTAGAGAGGCACCAGGGATTCCATTTCCCCCGATGTAGGTAGCATTAGTGCTGCGACACACACTACTCCCAGGAAGACTGTTAGTAAACTAGGTCCCGACGAGGCAGTTCTGTTTTCTGAGAAGGCAAGACAGTACCAAGTGTAAGGAACATCTGACCAAGATACACATTAAATATTCTGCAAAAACATTTGCAGTGGATTGGAGCTGCAATACCCTGAGATTCTTCCTTTCCCTTTGCAGTTTGGAGGGGGTGGAAAATAACTCTTAAACCCACCCTTCTAAACCTTCTGCATTTTGCAGTGAGGGAGGCTGCTCCCTGTTCTGATGCTGGGACTTGTTTTCACATGACTTCCCAAACCACTCCCTTCTGGAGGAGCAGAGCCTGCCAGGCCCAGCTATACTATAGCTACAGCTATATATACACACACTCAGAACAGATGGGTGTCTCAGCAATGCCTGACGTTTCCCCATGCATCCTCACTGCACTCCTTCATATGTTCCTTCAGTGATTAGTAATCAATTAGGAAAGATCACCCAAAAGAGCTGCACAGGCAGGTAACTTCTTACACCTCCTGAACAAAACCTGGCTACAGCAGGAGCACAGGTTCTTGGGCCAGATGAGTTCCCCTTCTTTCTTTAGAGGATTCAAGGGCTGCACCCAATAGAACCAGTATAGATGCGACAAATCAGTCAAATTTGAACCTTAAAAACTGTGAGAGTGAACCACTCTGACATCCAGTATCACCAGAATAAGGAAATGCAAACCACAGACAATAAAGAGTCCTTCATACCCTTTATTGCACTGCACTTCAACAGCTGGAACCTACTCAAAGGCCCACTGTGTCATCTTTGAAAAGAGCTGTTAACATGTTAACTGAATACCTCCAACCAAATCCTTAAGTCCCACTGGAAATTAGCCAATGCTTTTATCATTTTTTTCTATCCTCAGTGACCAGCAATATGTGCTCTATTTCAATTCCATAAATCTGTTATTTCCAGGTTGCAGGTTAGACTGCAAAGACTGCAGTCACTTTGTTTACTGCTTTTCTGTAAGCAATAAAATGTGGTCAACAAGGTTTTTAAGCAGAGAAGTAGTACTTGGATTAAGACCAGTATCAGATTGTTCAAACCCTCTGTCCTGGAACAACTATCACAGTAACATTTTGTTCTGTGAGTCCAGAGATCTTTGTAGGTTTGCTTTAACCGTGTTTCCTACTAATATCTATCATCACGGTTTTCTTTAGTAAAAGGTATTTCACCAGCCAACAAACTCTGCATAAGTAGTGAAACAGGTTGGCTTTAACAAGAGGAACACCCTCAATAAGGTTCATCTATTTTCTGGAATTGATTTCTGGTGCTGTAATGAAAAATTAAACAGTGACAAGAACATAACAATATAAATCAGTAAAACAAACAGGACTATAGGCTGTCAAGAATCAGTTTAGATTCAATTCAGGTAGAACTCGATACTTTTTATCCTACCCCTTCAATTTAACTCTTTGGCCCTGGTTTTGCCCAAGACTGTTGATTTACTTCCTCACGTATGAAACAAGCAGAGTTTTCAGCTCCCAACTGTGCTCTTCTGTTCTTGTGGGACAGACAAAGGAGAGGGTGCAGAACAAGGAGCACTTCAGAAGATGTTTTGGCAATATTTCCTGCTCATCAGGAAACGGGGGATTATGGGTTTGGAACAAACTCAGAAGGGGCATATGTTCCGAAAGAGCCCAAGGGGAAAAATAACTACCATCCTTTGGCAGATAAATTCCCATTGGCTGTACCAGATCTCCTGCTCCAGAGGAAGGGAGGATTCTTTCTCCAAGGTATGACATGCAAACACAGGGCAGAAAAGGGTCTTGATTGATCAAGGCAGCACAAACAGAATAGCCACAGTTTGGGTTCTTGGGTACTGTCGTTCCCCAGTGACAAAGACAGCAGTCTTACAGGTAAGTAAAAAGAACTCCTTTCAAATTTATTTTAACCTATATTTAAAAAAATATTTTAGTCTTTCTAGTAACTTGAGTTATTGAAAACTGATTCAGAAGACAGGAGAGGCAAAAGATTTCAGCTACCTGGTTGACACAAAGTCTGCTCAAAAAAGACACTTTCAGCCAGGTGTTCTTTTATTCGTTTTTCCTCCTCTTCCTTTTGTTGTTGTTGTTCCTTTGCAGATGGAAGCAGAGTAGCAATAATCTCCTTTTTCCCTAATGCTTTCCTCTGGCTCTGCTCAGACACTTGTAGACGGAATTTATCTATCACACCATAGTAAGCAGCCCGAACATCTCTGTGACGAATCACACTGCAGAGAAAACCAACATTTTCAAATAGATCAACTAATAAGAAGCATGTATGGAATTACATCCTATATCACTAAGTTTGTCCTCTTTCCCCCACGCACAGATAAACTGCAATAATCCAGATCCTCACTACCTCCTCCATCACTCAGTGATTTTGAAGATTTGATCTTGCCTTCTCCTCTCTCCCCTCCATATTTCCCAAATATATAATAAGCTCCAATTGGATGGCCAAAAAGAACAGTTAATTCTTTATCTCAACCCACCTTTGCCTAAGTCTGAGGCTGAGCTGCCACCTGATGAAACATCAATTTATTGAAGTTGTTTGATGCTGGTCAATGATTTTAAAAGGTATGAGGGGACTGGAGTGGACAGGAAAGGAAAGAAGTAAAATAGGGCCAAGTACCTGGACAGGTGTTTGGCAAGCTGAAGTTCAGCTTTTTGAGGAAAACAGCCTCAAAGCTTTACAATTCTACATTCTCAGAAGAAAAACTCATTCCTTCTGTGGACAAGAGTGAGCTAGGGATTTTCAAAATCAGAAACCCACCATTATGAGCATGTTTGGAACCTATAAAAGGCACAGTTTTAAAATAGCACTGATCAAAGGCAAAACAGACCTCTGAGCAGAGCTCTGCTCAACTGCCTCCTCTCTGCATTTGTGATTCATCACGAAAATACGTATTTAGCATTAAACAGCTCGAACATTTAGGTTTAAAATGGTATCAGCTCTTAGGGTTAATAAGGATTTCAATTATTTCTCCAAATGTTTCTTGTGAAAGGTTATTCTAAGTTTCTAAGGTAACAATAGCTAATCTAAAAAAAATACCTACAAATAAGTGATTTGGTTTCAAGAGGGCTGCCATCTCATGAGGGGAAAAAAATGACTGTACCCTTAGTAACACCAGATAGTAGTTTCAAAATTGCTTCAAGGAAGGGATGGATTTTTGTGTTTCAGGCTTCATTTAAAGGAACTGTATCACATCAAGATATCGACAAGCATTAGCACATAGCCAGTGCTTGGTATCTAGTTTGAATAGACCATTCATCACAGGAACAGAGACCAAGTCATCCCCCCAGCGAAAAGGCTGCAGTGATATACCGAGTTTTACATCACTTTAGAGGCAAATGAGTGTGCTTATGACAGCCTTTCAGCAAGTCAAGTGTTGGTTGGGCAACTGCCTTCACTAAAACAAAAAGCTTTTTCCCTCTGACAACCCTAATTCATAGAGCTCTCAGCATATCAGCACAGTGGATCAACTGATTTCTTCCTTTAACACTTCCTTTAAATTGGTGTTTCCACTCTTAGTACCATGGTACTAACTACCAACCTAAACAGAATCTTTACATAACACCGTGCTAGGAGAACATGTATCTGCTGCCAAGCAGAGATATTTTCTGCAGACCCTCATAAACAGATACATTCTCCTGTTTCTTTTTAGAGATCATTGCATAATTGGAAGCTCTGTAGAATATCTGTTTATCTGGCAAATGGCCACACTTGCATAGTACTGCTCATATCCTAGCAGTAAACACTGCCCTGAGACAGCAACCACTGGAATGGGATGGGGGTTTTTCTGCACAAAAAAAATCCCCTTGAAACACGTGTATGTCTTATTTTCCTTTATTTATTAAAAGACATTTGTTTAAGAATTATGCAAGCTTGATTATATTTGGTTAAAGTCTGCTAAAGACCACAATAGTTCACTGATACAGTGGTGTATTCTGACCCATTTTGTTCCATTTTTAGCACTGTTGCCCCTGCCCACTGAAACTTTTTAGTTTCATGTTTTAAACTTCCTTTTTATTTGGTGAGTCCTTGGAATTTTTCAAATTACACCTAAAAAAAACAGTCTACAGGAAAGAGCCATTCCCCAAGCACGGTATTATTTATCTGATAAAAGATAGTTCATTCAATAGTGGGGGTTTCTGCATATGGCCATTTGTTAGCCAGAGATTCCAGGTGGTGTTTTACAGTTTGGAAAATTTCTATTCAAAAAGCTCAGTCTACTGTTTTAGGTACCTCACACTTCCTTAAGCTGTATCTGTACATCAGCACAGAAATAATGTGGCAAATGCAAGATAAAAAAAGTTGGTCTATTTTAGCTTATACACCTACTCTACTCCAAATTACAGCAGCCTGCAGACCCTGTACATTACTGTGGTCACTTGACCAGGCTTCTTATTTTCTCAGTTATTGGTTTGGGAGCTGACAGGAGAAGCAAGTAAAGGGGAGACACAGAGATCTGAGAATGGGAGGGGTGGTCAGGGTGAAAGGTAGGCAAAAGTACCTTAATTAAACGTGGCCCAGGAAAATGTGCTCAGCAGAACTGCATACATTTCCATTTTGCCAATCTGCAAACAAGTATTTCTCACAAAGAAATCCCAACCCTGGGGGTCTTGCTTTTCTTGTTATTTCTTACAAAAAGGTACTCAGAGGAGGCTCACATTCCTCTCACTGCTGGTTTACAGACTCCACTACAAGATGTGTTCACTGGCAATTTATTTATGCCCAAAGACAAAATTAAAGAATATTGTAATACCTCTGCCCTAGAGTGAAAGAACAGCAAAAACTAGACAGCCACAAGTACACAGGAGGTTAGGAAAATATTACAACTTTATCCAAGTTATATTTTATACGTATGTTGTCATTTTACTACCTCTCAAATAATAAAAGAAATTAGGATAATAAAATGTTGTATATTAGAAAAAAACCCAACCAACTTTTACTTACATATCAACACAGCACTGAGGCTTCACTGCACCAGTAGCATCAACCACCGCATATTTATTTGGGGTTGTACAAAGAACTGCAATGAAAAGGACAGGAGTAGTAACAAATCATGAATTAATACCTCACCAACTTCATCAACAGATACATGTAGAGACACGAGTTTGGTTTTGTCACAGATATGATTTGTTACATGAATTATAATTGGACTGTTCAAGATCACCAACTAACCCTTAAACAGAACTTAACCTAAGAAACCCACCTTTGAATTTTAAGGCAAACTCATAGGGGTTATATAGAGTCAACACCTGCTTGTGTGTCGACTGGTCATCTGCATAAAATATAAGTTCTGTAGGAAAAACAAAAACAGGAAGATTTCCTTCCACTAACTCTGGCTGTCTTTTTTGTTGCTGCATTGGCACTGAATCCTCCTTGCTGCTTCTTGTGTTCTTATGATTTTGAATCCTCAGAGACTTCAGTTTTTGAATCGTTTAAGAATTCCAAAGCATTTTGGCAATTCTAAAGGAAAAAATGGAAAAAAAAGAGAAAAGGCAAGAAGATTATTTCCATAAGTCTATACTAGTATAAACTGAGGCAGTCAACAAAGGTGTAAAAATAGAAAATGTGATGTTTGATTATGAATCTACCTCTACTTACGTTCCTTCAAAAATACTGATATATAAAAAATATTTGCACTGTGTTTCCATCTATTTAACAAACTGCTATAAAATAAATGGATAAGCACCTCTTCAGTGTATCATGGCAGCATTTGGGGTCCCAGTCCATGACTTAGGTTGCTTATACTGGCTTTTTACAACACAAGCCAAACAGGGATAACAAAAAGATATTCCATCCCATGTCTCAGGAGACCAACACTTAAGAAAAACCAGAGCAAAAATGAGGAAACATGACATAAGTAGGAGTCACTGTTTTGGCAGAAACCTCTCCAGAGGCATGACCTCCCCGGATGAGGAATAACAGCCTAGGTATCTGCTCACCCAGGCACCCAGGTATGTCAAATCCCAGAAATTCAGAACAAAGGAATGGGGAACACCTTCATGCTTTGTTTAAACTAAGCTCCTGTTACAACTGCACAGTAGTTACATGCAATGAATTGAAAAATAACTGGGATGAGCAACACCAAACAGATCTGGGATTTACTGTTTGATTAAAAAAGACAAGTTTTCTGTCACCACTGCCTCCAACCAAAGTACAACCACTGCAATTCTCCCTCTGCCACCCGCACAGTTCTGTTTTATTTTGAGTGACATTCCAGAACTAAAACCAGAACCCATGACCCAATCAAGCAACAATCCCAAATGTAATTCATAAAATAAAATTAAGGCCAAACTCCTCAGCACACATACCATTGACTTGACACATGACAGACAGAACAAAGTCTTCTCCCCCCCCAAGAACGTCATATTTTATCGCAGCTCTTGTAGGTTAATTATCAAACTGAAGGAGTCCTTTGAGGCTTAACTTTACAGCAGAAAATATTAAAAGAACAAAAAGTTCCTACTGACTCATTAGCTGTCATTTCCACTTCCAATGAAGCTTTATAAACAAGGTACATTTCAGCTGTTCTCCAGTCCAATAAACTGGTTTTGTTGCACCTTAAAAACTTTAGTTTCTGAACTTTCTAGCAGTGAGTAGCCCAAGCATTATGAACAATCAAACCCAAACGCTTATTTCGGCATTCTAAACATCATGATGATCACATTTCCAAGCACCAGATACAGGTTTCATACTTGAAACATGACACAGGTTCACATGTTTACTATAGTGTATCTGTCACACCATCAGATTTACAGGTTCTGATTCTTATTCACAAACTAAGCTTTAAAAATTTATTTATTTATTTATTAAAACAGCAAATTATCCCTGTAGAATTTAAATTCATGGATCTCACTGGAACGTCTTTCCCCACGATCCAGTTTCTTTTCAGAGTACAAGTTTGCTTCCACTTCACTGAAATGCTACTAATAATATTCTGAAAACAAATCCCCAATGATAGTGTTCCAAGCTGATGTTCTGTTACCTTATTAAGAAAAGACTAGAAAAAGAAATGGCTTTGTGAGTGCTTCTTAGAATTTTGGTGAATCCCTTTTGTTTCAGAAGAATCAACAAACTCTGGTACAGCAAGTGTAAGCATTATTTCTTGAACAACTTTATGTACTATTGCAAAGTGAGGTTCACTGTTCCATTCAAACATATCAGGACTATATGAAAAGCTAATGTGGAAAAACTACCAGCAAGTAGAAATACAAAATAACTTCTTTTGATGCTTCTCATAGGTAGAAGATTAAGAATTATTAATTTTTTTTAACCAAAATTAGCTCAATACAGTATGCAGTAAGAGTAGGCTGGAATCTTTGGGTCTCATACATATCTACACTGTGTGTAACAGAAATACAGGCAATCTTTGCATTAACAAAAGGGATTTTTTCTGAATAAATGTTTCAAACTACCATACAACCAACAGCAAGCTACTGCTACATATCTTAAGTGACAATATTTAATAAAAGTTTCAAATATTATTTATAATAATCAATATTATTTTGATGCTTCAGTTTTTTATTTAAACTCTGTACATGCTTCATTCCAATTCCTGGCTTCATACCACATCTCTAGTTTCTTCAGCTCAGCCAGTGGCAAGTGTTTAGTGTCCAAAAACCCCACAAACGACTATCAGTGGAGGAATGGATCACTAAGCCTATCAACAGGCTCATTTTTCTCACACATCCATTGAAAACAGTGCACAAACCTCCCAGGATTCCACAACCTGCACACGGAAAGCCACCAATCTTAAAAAAGTATATCCCGTTATTGCTTCCTTTTCTTATTTAACTTGGCTGGACGAGGAGTTACCGCCCCAACTGGCAAAAGGAATATCTGGCAAACTCAGGCCTACAGTAGATATGTTTGCTGACACAGCAGTGTCATTCAGGACATAAATTTCTGAATTCCTAAGCAGGCAACCAGCATCCTTTTTCCTTTTTGAGACAACAGTTTTAGCTTAGAAGTCACCTTGCTGGGACATCTCACCAAGTGACAGCAGTAAAAGCACTTTTCCCAAAGACTGATTTATAAACCACACACATGCTGGGGAGACGTGACAGTTTAGTCTTGATAACACCACACCTTTTGCATCAACAAGAAACTGCTTACAGAATGTACGTGTATCACCACAACTTCCCTGCCCAGATTAACCCCACAGCAGCTCTCACGGTCAGAATAAGGTCACGTAGCCCAGCCAGTTCATTTAAAAGAAACTCAGCTGCCTCTCTTCCTCACCATGACCACTAAATTTTGCAGTCAATAGTCACCACAATTACTCGCCCAACATAAATCTGTATCAACCCCGGACCTGTGGTCTCAGCTCTGTGGCCTGCACTGCACAGATGGGCTTCTCCCAGCACTGCCGATGACATTCCTGCAGGAGCAGGAATCTGTCAAAGGTAATGCTGGTTACAGGACACAGGCCGGTGTGTAACACCTGAACAACACCAGCTCGCTTCCCAATGCTCTCTGAAGTCCAGACAAACAGTTGTCACTGGCATTTTCTCAGCACAATAAGGATATTTCCTCCCTGATGTTACTAAATATATACTGCTGGTGTCACAATAGCACAGATCTGCCAGCGTTTCCTTTGAAATCCCTTTTTTCATAAATATAACTCAACAGAGAAAAACACGAAGTGAAACATAACTTCTCTCCAGGGTCGGAAATAACCCTGATTGTGATTTGCTTTTACTTAACAAGTACCTGCTGAATAAATAAACCAGCTGAAGAAGTTTTTTATTCCCATTTTAACTTCCAGTGGCCTCATCACCATGGCTTCCCAGCGCATTTGTTGGTTGTTTTTCTTCCTAACAACTCCAAATAACTCTACAGAATGTCATCGGGTAAACACTTTATTCAGAAGAAAACCTCTTTACAGTCATTGTGTCCAAATTCTTCCTTTAAAAATTGTGTAATTACAGAGTAATCTATTTTTGTTACATCTCATGATCTACCCCCTAAATCTACACGAGCCTTTCTACACTACATACTCAGTAAAACTGATGCCTTTTGAGCGCCTATTTACAAAGTAAACCCAAAGTCTTCTTCAAAATTCCCTCCTGTGTCAAGCTGAGCAATCACTTTGAGATACAGCACAAGATCTGAAGCTGATCCATTAGCATTTTGTTTCTCCAAAATGTTTTGAAGGCCTCAATGTGCTTACGCAAAACAATGTTTAAACTACCTGCAATTATCTGGGAGAGTCACCTAACAGGAGAGCAACAGACCCAGCAGCCAGGATGGCTGGATTCCATTACTGCTAACTCTGTCACTGACACTCCATGACCTTGAGCAAGTTGGTTAACCTCACCTCAATTTGCTGATCTACGAAGGCACATATTCTGCAAAGGATTTCAGTAGGCGGATGGTCCCATTTGAACTGGCAGAACTGCTCTGATACTTTGCAAAGCTGCTACTGTTTACCCCTTCACAGAGTGATGAGAAATGTAATTAGTAACTGTCTCCAGGATGCTGTAAAATGAAACAGTCTCGGAGCGTTACCTATTAGCATGGATGACTAAAAGATGCATAAATCATGCTGATACTGACAGTACAATTTATTAGGACCACACTATTCTGTCCATTTTTTTAAACGCTGAAGAGGTGACTAACAAAAAGAAATATTCAAACGCAACTAAAAGGCATGCAAAAGCAGTGAAAAATGAAATAACAGCTGTGCACTGCTTCTGATCCATTCCGGCTCAGAAGAATCCTAGGGAAGACTTTCAAGGGCACATCTTCCTTAGCCTCTATTTTCTTACTTTAGTCTCTATTTTCTCACTTTCAGGTTGTGTTTAATGCACTAAAACACCTGATTTTCAAACGTCTGTTGTGCCCCATTAGCACGACGTGGCCCCGAAACGCCAAACACTCTTCCCCGGGAGAGCGGCGGGGGGAAAGGCGTTCCGATCTGCTCGTAGCGCCGGCAGGGCACGGCGGTAATTGCACACTCCTAATTGATCCTCTTTGTTCTCCAGCGAGGAGCAGCAGCAGCGATCGGGGCCGAGGCAGCTGCGCGATAACGGCGGCGGCTCCCGCAGCCGGCCCTGCCCGGCACCCCCGCACGGCCCGGGGCGGGACCCGCCCCGCAGCCCTGCCCGGCACCTTCCCCCGCACCGCCGCCCCCCGGAGCGACCCCCGGCCCCGCGGGGCAGCGGCCCC